TTTAGTTTAGAAGGAGAAAGAGTTGTATGGCATTACGGGCAGTGAAGAGACTTTAGCTCTCATATCTAACCAAACCTTCGAATATTCAGGAATTTAAGGTCAGGACAGTTAATGACTCATCCAAGGCCACTGAGGCAACAGAGCAGGGCCAGGACCCGTATGTAAATCTCCAGGCCCTGCTCCCTGGTTCTTCACCATCTGCTTCATGATTTCACTGAATTTGCTTGTTCTGGCAAGGTGGAAAATCTCTCTTAATCTGCTTCTGAAATAAAATTTTCCCTGCCATTTGCGACACTCCAGAGTATAGAAACATAACAAAATCATTGTTTTGTGTTAATACTTCCATTTTCAGCCATCCTGGCAATCAATCAGAACTTTTATCTTCTTGCCTGAAGAGACAAGGACATTTAATTCACAACAATTTCCTTCCTCCTTTCTCTCAACGACTCTGTTAAATAAAACATGATGGATCACACTCTGCATTTGCATGCCAGCTCAAACAGGAACGGAGCTCTGCTGGAACGGACAGGATGCCACCCTTGCCGAAACCTGGCAGAGGGGACGTGGAGGTTAGCACTGGGAAGCGCTCAAATTCTGCACAAGTGAACATTTTTCACTCAAGGAAAGGGGCCCAGTTCACAGCCATAATGAGAACTGGAAGCTGTGCTAAAAATTAATAAATAAATTCTTATTTATGATCAACAAAGATCGTAGTCCTACCTAATAAAGGCTTTTTTTTTCTTTTTGGGATAACACTTGAATCTTAGAGAACTGAGCTGGGGCATAATCTGGCCAAGTATTCACACTGCTATACTGGTCATTTCAGTTAATTCCCTGCTTCCCATAACAATTAGGACAGAATTTTTTTGAATCTGTGCCTTTATAGAGACTGTTCATCTTTCCTCTTCTTCAGAGTGCCCAGGGATGCTTGCCTTGTATGTGTTTTAGAGCAACCCAGTGCACCTTGCCATCTTTTGCATATGGAGCTATTGATCAGTGTTGACAGGACCAGGAGGGTGTTGTCCAGTCCAGACTGCTGGTTTTGTGCAGACAGAGAATGACATTCCTACTTCTATATTATTTTCTACAGGGAGTTTATGGTTTGCTTTAAGTCAAGGTTAAATGATGAGGTGATTGACTTGAATGTAGGTCTCCTGCCTCTTAGTGACAAAGCTGTTTTTATTCACTTATTTATTCATTTAAGAGATCTCATTCTGTGCTGAGACTGTAAAGATGAACAAGATGTAGTAGCCCCCACAAGAAATGTATAGGCTGGTGAGGGATTATAGCTCAGTTAACAATGATCATATGCAGTGTGCTAAGCACAATTGTGGAAGGAATATGAGATTCTTTGGGAGCACATAGGGGAGGTTCATAATGTAATTTGAAGGATTTAGGGAAATTGTTAATCTCCTTAATCCTTCCATAATGCAATTTAAAGAAAGTGTTCCAGAGAAAGTAAAATCTGAACTGCAACGTGAAGGATGGAGTGGAGTTAGCTTACTGAACGAGTTGGGGGTCTAGGCAGGGGGGATGACCTGAGGTGAGGAAGCCTTGCTCATTCATGGAAAAACATGCCATTTTATGTAGAGGATGACTGTATATTGACAATGGTGAGAGAAGACACTGGGAAGAGAAATTGTTTAGGCTTCATAAACCACGTTAAAGATTTTGAACTTGCTTTTTATTGCAATGGGAAAGTGTTGAACAATTACCAGAACATGAATGACAAATACATTTAGGCTGCAGAGCAATTACTCAGGCAAGTACGGATGATAGATTAGATAAAATCAAGGGAACAGACACCATTGCTATCACAGCCTAGAATCTGTCTACAAAATCTTTAGTCGCAACTGATCCGAAAGAAACTTATTTAGGAAATGAGCAAATGTGGAATTTCTACTGACTTGGTCACCGAATTTCATAGTCTTTCCAGGTTCCAAAAGGTTCCAGTGTTAACTTCCTGAGTGGGGTAAGGTTGTGCCTGTCACTGTGGCCTGTTTGTTACATTGAGACTCGTAGCTGCTTCACTTCTTACACCAGGCGGCCTGCAGCTCTTCCTGGGTCTCCAGTTCCCCCTGCATTCTGGCTGGTGATTACAGTTTTGGTAGCAGTGCTAACAGCTCGAGCAATAAGCTTCCTCATCCAGGGTTCCCTGAGAAGACGCTGTCTTTCACAGTCTTAGTTTGTAAGTTCTTGGATATTCAGAGATTATCAGGAATTCATCTAGCACAGTACTTTCCCCCTCTTTTGACATTCCCTATTACTTGCTTCTTACAGTCTTTGATTTTTAATTCCCTGTTCACTTAGGGCAGTAGGCTGTATGTGATCCCAGGCCTGTGGGCCCTCCAGTGACTTTGCAAAGATCGGTCATCGTTTTCCAGGGGTGCCTGGCTCTGTACCGTGGGGTCCTCCAGTCCACTTCAGCAGGCGTTATGCTGACTGAGTGTATCTGTAAGAGAAACAGTCTCCATTCACTTCTCTGAGTAACAAAGGGAAGGTAGGAAACAGTTACCTTGCCTGGTTGGTTGCTCCTTTCTGCCCGTGACAGGCCCACCGTCTTGCCACGTCTAGTCCAGGCCTCACAGTGGCAGAGACCAGCACCGCTCTCAGGAATTACCCTCACACGAACCACGT